GGGATTGAAAGGATTAATAAATCTGCTTTTAAGTTAGCTTTGGTTTCATATACATTTTACTCATTAGCAATTTAACATTTCTTCTCATCTGGTAGTTCAAATTCCAACTTTTTAAGAAGAAAATATTGTGGTGAGGCATTGCATTCCTGGTAATTTAACTGTTTTTATTTCTGAGAGGGCTTTTCTTTTCTTTTTATTTTTGTCCAAAAAAAGTTTTGAGTTCGAACTTGTTGCTTGCGTGTCATTTCATCAGTTGTTATTGCCGTACTGATTTTTCTTAGAGGCTGCCCTGCTTTCTTTCCCTCTTGCTACTTCTACAGTCAACTAGTGAAGGATTTATTTGATTCTACCTGTTTGGCTACGTTGTGGTTAAGCGCATGACAACTTGTTTTTTCCTCCCTTTTGCTAAATTAAAATGTACAGTTCTATTTTGGCCATCTAAGATCTTATAACTAGTTGTGTTATTCTCTATCACATTTTTGTCTGTAAAATGTTTTCGTACTTCTTATAGCTAGCAAGAGATATCCAATTGAGGGTAGGGCGGTCACTAATTGTACATAATTTACGTACTTGTTATTTTCTGTACTCTTATTTGATAAACTGATACAAGTTTTGTTCCGTTAATTGTTATGTAATATTATGCAGGATACGGAGATAACTGTGGATGGTAGGGTGGATGTGATGGTGGGTTCAACTTCTCATGAGAGAAGTGAAACTGTTCCACTCTTGAGTAAAAAAGCAGTCATGAAAGCTAGCCTGATCAAGAAATGGCCAAGAGTGGCTAACTATTGCACTTCTGGGGAGGTCTCAATGTGCCGCTCTAGTGGGGTGTTCTTGAGATTTCGCCCTGCACTTTATGTAATTTGTGCTGCAGCTATCTGTTTAGGATTTTGTGCAGTCCTCTTTCATCCTCACAAGGTTGGTGAATTTGCAGTAACAATGCGCAGATGTTTATTTGACAACTTTTAGATGTTTTAGTTTGTTTTTTTTTTCCTTAGAATGTATTCCTCAGTCCCTTAAATCTGTATATATATATCTATATATATTATGTCTCCGTTCTGCACTGCTTTCTAATATTAGATTAAGACTAGCCGCCAAATTTTTTTTCGTCACTGAGCTGTTCTTGCTGCAAGCATAAATTCTGAGTACTGCCTCTGTCAAGTCGCATTCTGTTTTCGGGTGCTGTTCTTGCTCGAAGCATAAATTCTGCGTATTGCCTCTGTTGAGTCACATTTTCTGGACTATGTTTGCCTACGGCCTTTGAGATAGTAATTTTTATTTTTAGTTTATAAGAAAATGAATTTGCTCGAATTTTAATTTTAATTTTGGTAATGCAGTATCAGCGGCGACTGATGTTCCAGTTGCATTGTGTATTCTATTGTTGTAATGTTTAGATATAGATTTGGTGTTGTGCTTGAGTAATAAGAAAGGCCTGGTTTCCTGATCGAATTCCTTCTAAATTGTAATTTGTAATGTTATGAAATAGTGGGTTTCATGCTGCTTTTTTTATTTTTTTCGATTTTTAATTTTAATGAATACCCTAAAACAATTCAAAACTGTCCATTAATTAATATTTTTTGCACAATTGATAACAATAATAATAATAATAATAATAATAATTTGAACATATTTTCTTTCAAATTTCAGTATGTATTATGTGCACGTTTGAATGTTGAGGTGTATGAAAAGGCAAAATCTTGTGTGTACACATGATGCCAGTTATGCAACTGCTTGTTGTGCTTGTTATTTATTCATTTATTTTATCCTTTAAAGATTTCAAAGTATTCCTTTTCAACTGATGCGATGCTGCTCATCTGCCCCAACAGCAACAGAAACGATGAAGATATTTGTGGTGTTTTCATCAGGGGCCACATGATATACTTTAATTTAGAACAAAATAGTTAGCAACTTAAGGTAGGTTATCCACTAATTGACAACGAATTCCACCCCCTTTGATTTTGATTGTCTATTGTCTATTGTCTATTCACACAAACAAAACCTTTTTCTTTATTGATATTCTGTTGAGGGGTAAAAATAAAATAAAACTTCTAGTACATCTGCAAAATCAAAATTCCAAATTAGGCCCACTAGGCTGGAATTAGCAACAGCTTTTATTTTGCAATAACACGCTTAGCTTAGCACCATCCACAGTATTCTTGATCTTGAGTAACATTGCAACAGTCATTAGGCCCACGCCTCCAGGAACAGGAGTTACCCATCCAGCAACCTTACATGCTTCCTGGAAATCGACATCTCCGACCAATCTATAGCCTGATTTTCTGCTTGAGTCGTCTATAGCATTTGTGCCGACATCAATGACTGCAGCACCTGGTTTTATCCAACTCCCCTTGATCTGAAATTCAGTAGATACACTGATTAACAAATTTCCGATAGATTTCAGCAATTTGAAACATAAACCCTACGTCGCACAGCGTCCAACCAAGACAAGGAATGTATTATATGACGCACAGAAACGAAACGATGTTTGCTCCACTAACAGATGGCAGTCATTTCATACAAGCAATGATACAACTTAGTGAAGAGGGCTATTTTATACACACCAGAGCACTGCTTATAAGCTTCAAAGGCATTGTCTTACAACTTCCAAGTAAAAATGATGGAAGTACCAAGGCCGAAGAATTTCCCTTTTCCTTCACCTGGGTTGAACATATGGGAGGAAACAACCAAGTATACCTATTCTCTTATTAATTGCATTTCAGTTTTCTTGTTCAAGCATATCTTAAGGTGTTTGAGGTATTTAACTATGTACAAGTTGTGTATGCTGAAAAATATGGAGCAGTACGTATATGGGATCTTAATGTTATGTGCTAGTATTTATGGGTAAACAATTTACCATGGTCTTCAGCACTACTTTTAACTAGAAACAAACTGAGTACTAGAATTTTCATGGAAAGCCAAACAAATATCAAACGAGAGAAAACAGGTATGTCATAAGACGATGTTACTGCATATCAAGGAACAACAATCTGTGAACTACCTACCATCATTGCCTGCCCTGCTGCAGCAATAATAATGTCCGCTTCACGAATGATACTCTCTGGATCGTGAGAATGAGAATGGACTAGAGTAACTGTAGCATCTGCTTTCAAAAGCAGCAACGAAACTGGCAATCCAACTATGTTACTTCTGCCCACCATCACTGCCTTCTTTCCCTTTATGCTTATGCCACTCCGTGACAGAAGTTCCAGACAGCCCTGCAGAGAAAATCATCTCATAAAACAAAACTGCAACCTGCCACAAGAAAGCCTCTCACAGCTCCATATGAGTATTTCTTGGATAACAAGGTTCCCTTGTTTGGCACAAAGTATACTCAAAGAAACAAAAGCATACGTGTGTGTCTGCATCTATCTGTGTTTCAATACATGACTCAAGTGTCTTGCCTTGGGAGTGCAAGGAAGGAACAGAGGTTCTCTGCCTTTCATCGCGAGCTTGCCGATGTTGAGAGGATGGAAGACATCAACATCCTTCTCGATGCTGATTTCACTCAACACCTTCTCCTCATTAATATGCTTCGGCAACGGAAGCTGAACTAGAATACCTACCAACAAAACAAAACCTACTTTCACGACGAACAACAACGGAAATGTAGCACATAAACAACTGGTTTCAGATTCCACCAAGCTCAAAATAAGAATTTTGCAATTATATTTTGTCAACTTAGAATGGAAAAAGTGATCATCTTTCATGAAACCAACCATGAACATCGGGATTGGCATTCAATTCATGAACTTCGGCAATAAGGTCGTCTTGGGACACATCCTCAGGAAGGTCTATGTCCAAGGATTTAATGGCAACCTCAGCACAAGCCTTTCTCTTCATGCTCACATAGCCCTGAGAGTCCTTCCTGTTCCCTACAATCACTACTGCCAGTCCCGGAACCTAAACCATTGATTGATTGCATAATTGCATTGTCAAAATTCATCCACTAAAACACCCAAAATGGGGGTTGAAATTATAAAAAAACCCAAGCACTATTGAAACATATAAACACACCCAAAACCCATCATTACACACACTCAAAACCCATCATTAAACACACCCAAAAAGTTGACTTTGTGGTTGATTTTGGGTGTGTTTCTATGTTTAAATAGTGCTTGGGTTTTTTTATAAATACATGTCTAGGATTGGGTTTATTTATAAATTTGTAAATAAATAATTACAAAAATTAATTCAGATAGATGGAGCAAAAAAGCAAACCTTGCCATATTTCTGGGAGAGATGGCGGACTTCCTCTGCAATTTCGTTTCGGATAGTCATTGATCAAACACTCACTCTCTCTCAGTCTTGAAGAGATTAGGGTTCACAATGACAATGGATTTACTGCACCCATAAAAACCCTAAATTAGGATTTACAGTGACAGTGGGTTCGATCGACTGAGAGAGCTGAGGTGAGGTGAGTCGGAGAGTGAGACTCTCTCGGTTGTTTTCGAGTTCGATCAGGTGCGGAAGGGTTCATGGAACTGCTTCCAGGTTGCCACTAATGCGCTGACACGTACGTATAGCCGTTCGGCTATATTATTCCCCAACAAAAACAGCGTATAGCCGGGCGGCCATACAATTTTTTAATAATAAAAAACCGTAGTATCGCCGCTGGGCTATACCCTTTTTGTTAAAAAACCACATCGTCTAGCCGCCCGGCTATACTATTTATAAAAAATAAAAAATGGGGACCCGCCTGGCTGCTAGTGCCGCTTCGCCACGTGTCAAAACAGTATAGCCGCTCGGCAATATTTTCGTAGTATAGCCGCCCGGCCATACTATTTTTATTATTAAAAAATCCGAGTATAGCCGCGCGGCTATACGAACCCAAGCCTCCATTCGCCACATGTCAAAAATTGTATAGCCGCACGGCTATAGTATTTTTATTCCCACGTATAGCCGCCCGGCTATACGATTTATAAAAAAACTAGAAAGGACCGCCTGGGCCCTAGCGCCTTTTCAATCCCTGCGAGCTATAGGATGCCATGTTGATGGAGTTTGCCCCAAGAAAAAAGCTGGTGACATCTGCACAACTGCTGTCCATGATTTTGAAGGTGATCAAACCTACAGTAAGAAGCCAGGCCACAATTTCACTTTAACAGTTGATTTTGATACTATTGATGTCTCAAGTTACGATGCTCTTGACCAAAAAAAAAAAAGTTACGATGCTCTTGTAATCCCTGGAAAACCATCCATCTGCCATGGGCAGCAGATTTTAGCTGCTGCTGGTGTTCTGCAGGTAAGGTTATTGACATAATCATTTAAGAGCAGTTCTCCAATTATGTACATAAAGTGGTATCAGAGTGAAGATTTTATTGCAAAGTCCAAAAGCAACCACCTTGAAGTTTTGCTCTGTTTGTTTCTGATTCTTCTGATTTATGGTGAATTTACTTATGTGCACAT